GGGGGTCCCCACTGGGGTGCCTGGCCAGCCTGGGTGAGGGGCTGATGGCTGTTTGCAGCTGGTCACACACCCTTCAGGGTGGGGGTCCCCACTGGGGTGCCTGGCCAGTCTGGGTGAGGGGCTGAGGGCTGTTTTCAGGCTGGGGGTGACTGAAGCTCCCAACCGCTCCTTTTTTTCTTTTTTTTTTTTATTCTGGGCCAGCTTTAGCTTTGAGGCTTGGCTCCAGCTCTTAGGCCTCCGTTGCTGAAAGTAGGTTTCTGGCCTTTGCTTACAATGTTGTGATCCTGCTGGCTGAAGCCCGGCAGGTTCCTGGGGTTTTGTTTAGCGTCTATATTTGTTACAATGTTTCAGACTGCAGGCTCAGAGGCCTGCAGCGGCAGGCGGGGAACGTTGGAGTCCTCTGTCACTGAAGCAAGCAAGCCCCATGTTAGTTTCAAGCTGCCTGGCTGCCGGCCGCTATCTTGGCTGGCAGTTAATTTGCATATTGCCCTGATTAGCCAATGGGAAGGGTAGCGGTCATACGCCAATTACCATGTTTCTCTTTTATTAGATAGGATTATTAACTATATTCCTTATGCTGTACTCTATACCCCTGTGACTATTTTGTAACTACCAATTGTACTTCTTACTCCCTTCACCTTTTTTATATAAAATTTTGAGCTATGGTTTTTCCCTTAATATTTACATCTTAAGTAATTCTTCAATGCATTTAAAAATGCTTCATAATGCTGCTTCTTCTTCTTCTTCTTCTTCTTCTTCTTCTTCTTCTTCTTCTTCTTCTTCATCGTCTTTTTTGTTAATCCTCACTCAAGGACATTTTTTCCATTGATTTTTAGAGAGAGTGGAAGGGAGAGAGGGAAAAGCTAAGAACCATATGATTTCATGCATATGTGGGATATAAAACTGAAACTCGTGGGCACAAACATCAGTGTGATGGGGATCGAGCCTGCAACCTGGGCATATGCCCTGACCAAGAATCAAACTGGTGACCTCTTAGTGCATGAGTCAATGTTCAACCATTGAGCAACACCGACCAGGCAAACCTTTATTTTTTACTAGGGGCCCAGTGCACAAATTCATGCACCTTGAAAGGAACTGTTGCCCGCAAAGCTGTGGTGGGCACAGGGGCAGGTCTCTGCTCATCTTCCATGGCCACACCTGGCCCCTCCCACCGTAGCCCCTGGTCCCCTGTCTGCTGGCAGCCCTGCTTCTGCTGCCGCTGCTCCCATGTACTGACAGCGCTGGCCCCACTCACACTTGCTGATGGTGTGGAAGGATTGGGGCTGGCGCCAGCAGCGGGTGCAAGTGGCGGCTTCTGGTCCCAATCGCCCCTCAGGAGCAGGGCAAGGTAGAGAAGCCCTGAGGGGTGATCAGGGCTGGCAGCTGCCACTCACACCCGCTGACAGCACCAAGAAATCCAGGCCAGCACCAGGCACCAGCGGGTGCAAGCTGGGCTGGGGCCGGCAGCAGGTGCAGGCAACGCCAGCAGATGCGAGCGCCTGGCAGGACCATGGGAGCAAAGAATTTTCAGTAACTACCAGAGGCTCGCCCTGATGACAGCAACTGGTGCCCCGCTTTGGTCTGGCACCCCTGCTCACCTGCTCCACCATCCTGCTGCAGCCAATGCCTGCTATGTTCCACACTCTGCTGCCTGCTGCCGATGCCCACCATGTTCCGTGCATGCCCCCTCGTCATCAGTGCACGTCATAGTGACCAGTTGTTAGGTTGTTTGGTTGTTCCGCCGTTTGATCTATTTGTATACTAGGGTTTTATATATAATAGTAGATTCAAATGTAGTTGCAAAAAACAATACATAGAAATCCTATGTATCTTTTACCAAGTTCCACCAATGCTAACATCTTGAAAAACTGTAGTACTGTATCACAACCAGGATATTGCCATTGATAAACTCAAGAAACAGAAGATTTTCATCATCACAAAGATTCCTCATTTTGCTCTTTTGTAGCCACATCTATTTGTCCTTCTTCCACCCTCATTCACATTACCACTTTAACCCCTAGGAACCATTGACCTGTTCTTCACTCACATTTTTTTTTTATTTCAAGAACATTACATAAATGGAATAATATGTAACCTTTGGGGGATTAGGTTTCTCACACAGCATAATTCTCCCGTAGACTTACCCAAGATGTTGCATTGCATCAATAGTTCATTTTTTTTATTGCTGAGTAGTATTTGTATTGAGGTATTTCAGTTTAACCATCAACCCATTGAAGGACAGCTGAGTTGTTCCCAGTTTGGGACTATTATGAATAAAACTGCTATAAATATTCACATAAAGGGTTTTGTATGAACATATGTTTCCATTTTTCTGGAATAAATGCCCAGCAGTGAAATTGCTGAGTCTTATGGTAGTTACATGTTTAGTTTTTAAGAAACCTCTAAGCTGTTTTACAGAGTAGCTGAACCTTTTTATATTCCCACCAGCAATGTATGAGTGATCCAACTTCTCCACATCCAGCTAGTACTTGCTGTTGTCACTACTTTTTTTAAACACTCTGATAGATGTATAGTGATATTTCATTATAACTTTCTTTGTATTTCCCCAATGACTAAATGATGTATTTTTGTGTCCTGATATTTCCTGTGCATATTTCTTTGGTGAAATCTCTGTTCGTGTTTTTTGTCCATTTGAATAGATTGCTTGTTTATTATTGTTGAGTTTTGAGGGGTTTTTTGTATATTCTATACTAGTCCTTTGTTGGATATATGGTTTGCAAAGGTTTTCACTTGGTCTGTATATTGTTTTTTTATCATTTTAACAGGGTCTTTTGAAGAGAAAATGTTCATATTTGATAAAGTCCAATTTACCTTTTTTTAATGGATCACACTTTTGATGTCAAGTCTAAAAACTCTTCACTTACCTCTAATCCTGAATATTTTCTCCTGTTTTGCTTTGAAAAGTTTTATGGTTTTACATTTACACCTATAATCCATTTTGAGGTGGTATTTGTATTAAGTGTGAGGTTTAAGTCAAAAATTTTTTTTTGCCTTTGGATGTTCAATTACTTCAGTACCATTTGTTGAAAGACAATCCTTCTTCCATTGTTTTGCTTTAGCACCTTTGTTAAAGATCAGCCTTTAGGCCAGTGTGATTATGATCTTGTAGCTATATAATTTTTAAGTCAGATATATTGACTCTTCTTATTTTGTTCATGTTTTTCAAAATTTTGCTATAGCTACTCTAGTTCCTTTCTCTTTCCATATAAATTTTAGAATGATCTTGTCTATATATCAAAAAATTCTTGCTAAAATTCTGATAGAAACTGCATTAAACCTGTATATCAATTTGGGAAAATTCATACCTTTAGTATATTGAGTTTTCCAGTTCATGGTCAACTGACATATTTTTATTGAGGTGAAATTCACATAATGCAACACCAGCTATTTTAAAGTATAAAATTTAATCACATTTAGCACATTCATCATGTTGTATAACAATCATTTTTACCTACGTCCAAAACATTTTCATCACCTCAAAAGAAAATTCTGCATCCATTAACAACCACTTACCATTCCTCCCTTCCTCAAATCCAGTCTTCAGTTTATGTAGATATACCTATTCTGAATATTTCATATAAATGAAATAATATATGTGATCTTTAGTATCTGCCTTCTTTCATTCAGCATGTTTTTGAGGTTCATACATGCTGTAGCATGTATCAGCACTCTATTTCTTTTTATGGGTGAATTATGTTGCACTGTATGTTTATCCATTCATCTTTGGATGAACATTTGGGGTTTTTTTCCTTTTTTAGCTATTGTAAATAATGTTACTATGAACATTTGTGTTTATTTGTTTGACTACCTATTCTGCCTTCATTTTCTATAGAAAATTCTGCCTTCACTGGGTATAGAATTCTACATTGTTTGTTTTACTATTTCAGTGCTTTAAAGATGTTGGTCTGCCTAACCGGTTTGGCTCAATGGATAGAGCGTCGGCCTGTGGACTGAAGGGTCCCAGGTTCGATACCGGTCAAGGGCATGTACCTTGGCTGCAGGCACATCCCCAGTAGGGGTTGTGCAGGAGGCAGCTGATCGATGTTTCTCGCTCATTGATGTTTCTAACTCTCTATCCTTCTCCCTTCCTCTCTGTAAAAAATCAATAAAATATATTTTAAAAAAAAAAAAGATGTTGGTCTACTATCTTCTTACTTGCATTTTTCTGATTAAAAATCTGCTAAAATCCTTATTTTTATTTCTCTGTATAACTTGTCATTTTTAAGTGGCTCCTTTTAAGATTTTTAGTCTGTATCTAGTTTTGAGCTGTTTATGATGTACCTTGATATGGATTTCTTCATATTTCTTGTGCTCATGGTGTTTTTGAGATTCTTGCATCCATGTGTTACTAATTATCATAAAATTTGGAAATTTTAACGCTATCATTTCCCTGTTTTTCTTCTCCATCTGCTACTACAATTACATATTAGAGTGATTTAACTTGTTTCACAGATCACTGATGTCACATTCCCATTTTTTTTATCCCATTATTTTTACTCTCTGTGTTACATTTTGGATCATTTCTATTGCTATGTCTTCAAATTCACTAATCATTTCTTCTGCTAAGTCTAATCTTCCATTAACCTCATTTATTATATTTTCCATCTCACCTCCCACATTATAGTTTTTATCAATAGAAGTTTGATTTTGGTCTTCTTTTATAAATCTTCTGTGTCTCTCCTTAGCTTTTTGATCATATGGAAAATAGTTATAATAGCTGTTTGGTTGTCATTATCTGCCAAATTATAACATTTGTCTTGGTCTGGGTCAGTATTGATTTCCTCATTGCGAATTGAAGTTTCCTTTTTTTCAAGGCTAGAATTTTTAAATTTGACTTTAGACAGAGAGAGGAAGGAAGGAAGGGAGAGAGGGAGAGGGATAGAGGTAGAGGGAGAGAGGGAGAGGGAGAGAGGGAGAGGGAGAGAGACATCAATTTATTGTTCTACTTATTTATGCATTTATTGGTTGATTCTTGTATGTGCCCTGAATGGGAATCAAACCCATCATCTTGCCATATTAGGACAATGCTCTGACCAACTGAGCTACCAAGCCAGGGCAATGGCTAGTAATTCTTTACTGGATGCATGACCTAGTGAATTTTACCTTTTTGGGTGCTGCATATTTACATGTTTTTATAAATATTCTTAATTTTGCATGGGGGATGTAGCTAAATTACTTAGAAACAGTCTGACCCTTTAAGTCTTGTTTTTAAATTTTGTTAAATAAGATAAGAACCATGTTTAATCTAGAGTTAATTATTCCTCATTACTGAGGCAAGAACCTTCTGAGTACAATACTTCATTAATTATGAAGTCAGGTTGTTGAAAATAGCCACTATTACCAATTTTGTGTGAACATTAGGTACTCTTCCCTCTAATCTTTTCAGGTGATTCTCTCCCTAATCTTGCAGTTTCCTCAAATGCATTCATTGCTCAGAACTCAGCTGAATATTCAAGGGGTCTTCTGAAGATCTTTGAAGTTCCATCTCTATGCAGTTTGCTCCTATGAAGTAATCTGTGCTGTGAACTCTAGATCCCTTGGTATTCCTGGATTCTCACCCGCATCTCCTCTAGTCAGAGAATCCACCATATTCTGTGGGATTGGCTGAAGCTGGTCTCCAGGTGACACTACCTCCTTTCTTTCTCTTCTCTCTCTTTTTTAAAAAGATTTTTTAAATTGCTTTTTAGTGAGAGAGGAACATAGAGGGAGAGAGACAGAAAGATTGATGTGAGAGGAAAACATCAATATCCCTCCTACACACCCCAACCAGGGATCGAGCCCAAAACCCCCACCCTGACCAGGAATCAAACCAGCAACCTTTTGGTGCATGGGGCGACACCCACCCAACCAACTAAGACACAGCAGGCAGGGCTACCTCCTTTCTCTGCTCTTCTCTTCTTCAGAGAGATGCAAATTAAAACTACAATGAGGTATCACCTCACACCTGCCAGAATGGCTAACATCAACAAATCAATGAACAACAATTGCTGGCGAAGATGTGGAGAAAAAGGAACCCTTGTGCATTGCTGCTGGGAATGCAGACTGGTGGAGCCTCTGTAGAAAACAGTATGGAGTTTCCTCAAAAGTTAAAAATGGAACTCCCATTTGACCCAGTAATCCCACTTCTAGGAATATATCCCAAGAAACCAGAAACACCCATCAGAAAGGACATATGCAACCCTATGTTCATAGCAGCACAATTTAGAATAGCTAAGATTTGGAAACAGCCTAAGTGCCCATCAGCAGATGAGTGGATAAAAAAAAGCTGTGGTACATTAACACCATGGAATACTGTAAAAAAGAATGATCTCTTACCCTTTGAGACAGCATGGATGGACCTGGAGAGCATTATGCTAAGCAAAATAAGCCAATCAGAGAAAGACAAGTATCACATGATCGCACTAATATGTGGAATCTAAGAAACAAAATAAATTGAAAAACAAGACAGGACCACAGATATTGAAGCATGAGACAGACTGACAGATCTCAGAGGCAAGGCAGGAAGGAGGATGGGAAGAGATTAACAAAAAACTTATAAGCATATATGCATAGCCCATAGACAAAGACAAAAAACAGGTGAAGATCTGGCAGGGTGAGATGGGTGGAGGAAGGCAAAAGGAGGAGATTAATGGGGGACATTTGTAATATTCTCAACAATAACATAATTTTTTTAAAGTTAAAAATCTTAGCAAATCGGATCCAGCAGTACATCAGAAAGATCATACACCATGACCAAGTAGGATTTATCCCAGGGATGCAAGGATGGTACAATATCCACAAATCAATAAACGTGATACATCACATAAACAAATTGAAAGAGAAAAACCACATGGTCATATCAATTGATGCAGAAAAAGCATTTGACAAAATTCAACACCCATTTTTGATAAAAGCTCTCAGCAAGGTGGGAGTAGAAGGATCATACCTCAACATAATAAAAGCCATATATGACAGGCCCACAGCCAACATCATACTCAATGGACAAAAACTAACACCATTTCCCCTAAGAACAGGAACAAGACAGGGATGCCCCCTCTCACCACTCCTGTTCAACATAGTACTGGAAGTGTTAGCCATTGCAATTCGGCAAGAAGAAGAAATAAAAGGCATCCAAATTGGAAAAGAGGAAGTAAAACTGTCCTTATTTGCAGACAACATGATATTATACATACAAAACCCTAGAGACTCCATCAAAAAGCTACTAGACTTAATACATGAATTTGGCAATGTAGCAGGATACAAAATTAACCCCAAGAAATCTGAGGCATTTCTATACACCAATAGTGAACTTTCAGAAAGAGAGATTATAAAAACAATCCCGTTTACCATCGCACCAAAAAAATTAAGCTACCTAGGAATAAACTTAACTAAAGAGGTAAAAGACCTCTACTCAGAAAACTACAGGACGTTGAAAAAAGATATAGAGGAAGACATAAACAGATGGAAGAACATACCGTGTTCATGGATTGGTAGAATCAACATCATTAAAATGTCCATACTACCCAAAGCAATCTATAAATTCAACGCACTTCCCATTAAAATACCAACGGCATACTTCAGAGATCTCGAACGAACTCTCCAAAAATTCATCTGGAATAAAAAAAGACCCCGAATAGCTGCAGCAATCCTGAAAAAGAACAAAGTAGGTGGGATCTCAATACCAGATATCAAGTTGTATTACAAAGCCACTGTTCTCAAAACTGCCTGGTACTGGCACAAGAATAGGCATATAGATCAATGGAATAGAATAGAGAGCCCAGAAATCGGCCCGAACCAATATGCTCAATTAATATTTGACAAAGGAGGCAAGAACATACAATGGAGCCAAGATAGTCTCTTCAATAAATGGTGTTGGGAAAATTGGACAGATATATGCAAGAAAATGAAACTAGACCACCAACTTACACCATACACAAAAATAAACTCAAAATGGATAAAGGACTTAAATGTACGACAGGAAACCATAAAAATTCTAGAAGAATCCAAAGGCAACAAAATCTCAGACATATGCCGAAGCAATTTCTTCACTGATACAGCTCCTAGGGCACTTGAAACGAAAGAGAAAATGAACAAATGGGACTACATCAAAATAAAAAGCTTCTGCACAGCCAAAGAAACCATCAACAAAACAACGAGAAAACCCACTGTGTGGGAAAACATATTTGCCAATGTCATATCTGATAAGGGCCTAATCTCCAAAATTTATAGGGAACTCATACAACTTAACAAAAGGAAGATAAACAATCCAATCAAAAAATGGGCAAAGGACCTAAATAGACACCTTTCAAAAGAGGACATTCAGAAAGCCAAGAGACATATGAAAACATGCTCAAAGTCACTAATCATCCGAGAGATGCAAATCAAAACAACAATGAGGTACCATCTCACACCTGTCAGACTGGCTATCATCAACAAATCAACAAACGACAAGTCCTGGAGAGGATGTGGAGAAAAAGGAACACTTGTGCACTGCTGGTGGGAATGCAGACTGGTGCAGCCACTATGGAAGACAGTATGGAGTTTCCTTAAAAAACTGAAAATGGAACTCCCATTTGACTCTGTGATCCCACTTCTAGGAATATATCCCAAGAAACCAGAAACACCAATCAGAAAGGATATATGCACCCCTATGTTCATAGCAGCACAATTCACCATAGCTAAGATCTGGAAATAGCCTAAGTGCCCATCAGTAGATGAATGGATTAGAAAACTGTGGTACATCTACATGATGGAATACTATGCTTCTCTAAAAAGGAAGGAACTCTTACCATTTGCAACGGCATGGATGGAACTGGAGAGCATTATGCTAAGTGAAATAAGCCAGTCAATGAAGGAAAAATACCACATGATCTCACTCATTCATGGATAATAGAGACCATTATAAACTTTTGAACAATAATAGATACAGAGGCAGAGCTGCCTCAAACAGATTGTCAAACTGCAGCAGGAAGGCCGGGGAGGGTTGGGGGGCAGGAGGTAGGGGGGTAAGAGATCAACTAAAGGACTTGTATGCATGCATATAAGCATAACCAATGGACATAAGACACTGGGGGATAGGGGAGGCTAGGGGACTGTCTAGGGCGGGGGGATAAAATGGACACATATGTAATACCCTTTGTAATACTTTAAGCAATAAATTAAAAATAAAAAAATAAAGTTAAACATACATCAACCAAAGGATCCAGTCCTTCTACTGGCCACCAAAGTACACCCAGTAAGTGCACCTTCCAGATGGTGGAGACTGACAGGATATTCTCACTGGTCACAAAGCAAGTTCTCAAGACATCGAACAAGACAAACTACACAACAACAGAAACAAAGCCCTATCTGGTTTGGCTCAGTGGATCGAGCATCAGCCTGAGCACCGAATGGTCCCATGTTTGATTCTAGCCTAGGGTACCTACCTCGGTTGCAGGCTGGACAATACTAAGTTGAAAATTACCACCCATGCTCTGATGTATCTCAAATATGTATCTCCAGTCCTGGCCATTTTGCTATGATTCAGATCTGATAATCCAGTTGCCTTATCAACAGTTCAACTTTTCTGTTCCACAGGCATCCTAATCTAGCAAGCCCAAGGCAGAACTCTTGATCCCCCTCAAACCTAATTTTTCTCCTGTGTATCCCAGCACAATGAATGACGGCACCATCTACCCAGTTGTCAAAAGGACCCAACCCCAATTTTTATTTATTCTTCTTCCTTATCTCCAACATTCTGAATGTGACATGAATCTCTCTACTTCCTACCAACCTCACAACCTCACTGGCATTTCATTAATTCAAATCACCCATCAGGTCTCTGGCAACAGCCTCCCATCCTCCTCATCGACAAACTCACTCTTGTAGTTCACACACATAAAGCAGCCAGAGATTGTTAAATATAGACATTGTATTTTCATTCTTTAGATAAAACTCTCCCAGTAACTTCTTAGGCTCTTAGAATGAAGTTTAAATTCTTTAACATGAGTTACACACACAAAGTGGTCCTTATTCCCATCCTGATTCCCCTCTATATATTGTCATCCCTTGCCACTTAACTTTGTCACTCGCCACACTC